GTGTGGTTGCCGAAAACCAAGCCTCAAATGCTCCGTAATGAGCAATTGTTATGGTGAAATCTGTAGTAACATAATGGAAATATCAAAATTAATCGAAAAGTTCAAAGATCAATTATACACAATGACTCCAATTCCAACCCCCGTTCTTTCACAAACATTTACTTAAAGAACTCGTCAACTCGTAGAAGCGTCAACATATAGGAAGTTATTTTTTTTTTTTTGATAAAATGGGTTAGGCTTTCACGGCCATCGTCTAAACTGTTTGTTCGGGCTGCCGTTGTCTTCTGAGATTATTTCTCGACGTTTTGCCAACACTAGGGATTGGCATCTTCTGGAGATGTTAATGCTCGTAGAGGTGGAATCAAAATAACACACAGAAAGGACAGTGGTCAACCTTTCAGATAAAGTTTTAACTCCAGCAGAAACATCATTGCTAGCCAAAGGGAAAAATTTTGTATTGCGATTGTATTGCTAATATAGAGTCGCAACTTACCAATCGAAACAGCTGAGAAAATAAGGACAGAATCAGCGAGAATTCTGCATAAAGCTAAGACACCGAAAAATAACCTGAGTCACCAAGAAATACGTGCCATAAAATCGTTAAACGCAGACAAAGATGTTGTAATTTTACCAGGAGACAAGTGAAACGCCACCGTTGTAATGAAGACAAACGACTACAAAACGAAAATACAAAATCTTCTAGATCCTGCGGTAGATAAGAAATTTAAAAAAGATCTCACAGCAGTCACCCTACGGAAAATCAATAGACTTATAAAGTCTTCGTCCATACCAGAGGATATAAAGCCAAGGATATGTAACAGCGAAGCAATCCCACCACGTTTGTATGGCTTGCCGAAAATACACTAAGACGTTTTCCAACACTAGGGGTTATCATCTTCTGGAGATGTTACTGCTTCGCTTGTAAGCTGAAATTGAAGCAGCGTTGTACTACAGAGGCCATATTTATAGTTTCTACTCCCCTCCCCTCCTCTGGTTTCGGCGAGAGGGGGCGTGTCGTCGTTTGAAGCTTTTCTGTATCTTTTTCTGTCGTCGTGTTTTGCGGGAAGGTATTTGTGGATTTTAATATTGGTATCCATGTTTTATTAATTTTTAGTCATTCTTCTATCAGATTTAAATTATTTGGACGCTTATATATTTCCACTGCTTCTCGATATAATCGTGGGTAGTACTGTAATGTTTTATACAGAATCTGAGTTTCTTTCAAACAGTATCCGATATTCTCCGCTTTCCAAAGCGTGTTCGGCAACGGCAGATTTGACGATATGTCCTAAACGACAATGGCTTTTATGTTCGTTTATCCTTGTGTTGGTATATTTTCGTGGTTGCCACATATACCATTCCACATGTGCATGGTATTCGGTACACTCCAGACGTTGCTAATGGGTCGCGTTTGTCCTTCACCGATCTTAAACAGTCCTTGAATTTCTTTGAATTCTGTCCGGTATATGGGATAAGAACGCTTTGCCTATACATGCTATTTCTTCGTCCTTTCTTCTAGAAACGTTGTTAATCGCTTTATGTATTTCTCTTCTGGTATAACCATTAGAGGTGAGCGCTTTTTCAATATAAAAAAGTTCTCTTTGCATATACTGTGGTTCACAAATTCTCTTCTCCCTCTTCGCCAGAGTTTTGATGATACCTTGTTTTTGGCCTGGATGATGATTTGAGTTCCTGTTTAGGTATCTGTTCGTGTTTGAAAGTTTTCGATACACTTTACGTCCTAAGTAACCTTCCTTTCGATTTACTAATACATCTAGAATCTCTAGTTGTCTTTCTACTCCGTGACCCCAAATCACAAAAGTGTCATCGACGTATCTAAATCATACACCTGGCTTGTATACTGACTCCATTAGCCTCTTCTCTAGATGCTCCATAAAAAGGTTGGTTACAACCGGGCTTAGTGGGCTTCCCATTGCTACTTCATCTACCTGTTCACAAATCTGGTCTTCCCATGAAAAGTAGGTTTTAGAGAGGCAAATACGGTACAATTCCACCATATCCTTGGAAACTAGTCCCTTAATTAAACTCGGAACGTCTTCTAGGGGAACTCTTCGAAATAGGGAAATGGGCGGTGTCTTTACAAAGGCATCGTTTTTTCCTATGTGTGGTTGTAAAATATCGGCCAGATACTTAGCAAGGCTGTAAGACGGAGACCCTATGAAGCTCACAATAGAGCGTAGAGGTACATCGTCTTTGTGTATTTTCGGCAAGCCATACAAGCGTGGTGGGACTGCTTCGCTGATGCATATTCTTGGCTTTGTATCCTCTGGTATGGACGAAGATTTTATAAGTCTATTGATTTTCATCAATATCCGAATTTTACATGAATTTTAAAGCACAATTCAATGTTTTATAACCCTGAGAACCCGAGCAGTTTTTTTTAGTTCTCGATTTTACTATTTCAAAAACTTAATTCATTAATTAAAAATTAAAGTCGCAATATCTCTGGTTCTAACCAACGAGAATTGATGTACAACAGTACTTTTGCAATCTTTTTTACAATATTTAACAAACGTTTTCATCGTTAAATGATTTAATGTGGTAAAATGAGCCTTTTTATTCAATCAGGTGCTATCATAATTCAAGATTCAAGACCTAATATTTTGCGCATAGTGACGTTGTAGATAAAAGGTTTTTGGGGTAAACAATTTCAATTTTGCAATAACTATTAAGTGAAACTTCTTGAAATTTTGTTATACTATTAAGTGTAACCTCTTGTTAATCATATTCCCGGAGTAAAAAATGAAACAAAAAAAAATACTTCGGAAGCTTGATAGGGATTATATATTACAGAAGCAATGATAGAGAAAATCGTGTATTACTAAAATATCTATATAGCCAAAATACGAGACAATTATACCAGAGAAAGTGCTTGCCAAGAAACTGACACTACATTACTGATAATTAAATCTTAGGGCTAGGAATTATACATAGAATAAAATATTTTAAAGTAACACTACTTTATTTTTTATTAAAAAAACTATTTATTGATATATATTCAATGTCAATTCGTCATATTCATCATTATGTCAATTCATGGGTTAGGTGTGTTTGTGATTTTCCAGATAATTATCTTAATTTTTTTATGTACATTATAATGATCATGTTTTTTCTGCAATTCCTGCATTTCAATGTTTGTTTCCATCATACACTTTTCTTTACCTTCTTTTATTTGTTCTTTAATAATTTATATTTTCTTTTTCTGTATTTATCTTATTTTTGTTTCTATATTTTCCCCTTTGCTCCATAATTCCCAGTATTTCTTGAGTCATCCAAGGTTTTCGGCTTTCTTTTTTGTTTTGTAGTTTCGTTCGGTGTATTTATAACAGAATCTTTGATTTTGCTCCACATAATAATCACATTCTCAGTATTTTTGGAAGCCTAAGTACGTATTTCGTTTATCTTGAGCAGCTGAGTATTCATCTGGGAACTTTTGGATTTTATTTTCTTTTTTATGCTGTTTTATTTTTGGGACAAGGAGTGCCAAAAATACATATAATAGAATTTGTAAATCTTAGATTGGTTAGTATAAAGTCGATCTGATTTCTAATGCAATTTTGTGTATTATAATGTGGTGACCTCCAGGTATACAGTCTACAGGGTGGTAATCGAAACGATGTGTTCATAATTACCAGGTTTTTTTTGACAAAATTGAGCCAATCTGTGGCCTCTAGCATTTGTTGTACCTAAACCATAATCACCTATTATGCTGTCCACTCAGCCTTTTCCTATCCTTGAATTTAAATAGCCCATTATTATTGTAATTTCTTTCTTCCTGGTGTATTGTAAAAGCTGTTGGAGTTGTTCATAAAATTGTTCTATTTCGGATTCTGACTCATCTGCAGTTGGAGCAGACACTGGCACTATATTAATCTTCACTAGCTTACCCTTTATTTGTAATAACAGCATCCGAAAAGAGAACAAAATTTACAACGGCTCTTTGGATTCTCCTGGAGATAATTATTCCAACTCCATATAGATGATCTCGGGTGTCATTTCCGGAGTAATACATCGTTTTATCCACGACCAATGTTTTACCAGAACTAGGCCACCGTATTTCTCCAATGCTTAATATTTCTAGGTTCAGTCTGTTCATTTCTTGAATCGTGTTGTTTTATACTGTATAATTTCAAAATTTCACCCTGTAATGTTTATAATAGACCTTACATAAAAGAATTCGTTCAGATCAGGTTGTTAAGGAATTATTATACATATATAATATATATAATATATATATTATATATATATATATATATAATATAAATATATATATATATATATATATATATATATATATATATATATTATATATATTTATAATAATTATACGGGATGGAAACCACTTATGGAATAAGATCCGTCGATTTTTATATATAAATGTGCTCTTTTTAAATTTACAAGGTGATTCTCTTTAAATTTAAAAAAAAAAAAATTTATATATAAAAATCGACGGATCTTATTCCATAAGTGGTTTGTTTCCATCCCGTATAAATATTGATGGCAATATAATTTGCGATCTTAAAATCATAAAATTCAACATAATTTAAATTTGGTGTTTCTGCAATACAAAGACACAGCTTCAATAGCAAAAGAAAATTTCGAAGCTATAAGCTTTATGCTGAAACTTAACAAATAAATAGTCAACATCCTAAGTTACCAATAAATTATCACTATTTGTAAAAATAATAAATTACCTATTATAGGAGGTAATAATTTAGCAAATTTGTTTATCTAATGTGTAGTGATCAGCGATTAGTTAGTGAATTTGTTTCTATTACTTTAATGTAAAATATCTGTAATTTAAAATAATGTAGGTATTAAGTTTTGAAAACCAAACTTTACGAAATAAATATTAATTTTGTGTAATATATTATTCGCATTTTCAATTTACATATCCTGTTCTTACACATATTATTACATATTATTCTGTTAATATGTAATTTTAAACATCTGTTTATTAAAAACAAATTGCGTTTTACCTAAAATCATAAGGAAAGGTCTCTGTCCATTCCGCCAACAGCTGTACCAAGTGTTCCGCAAACCTCGCCTGTGCTGTACTTCCCGTGGGTTTGGCTGCAAGTCCCTGTTGAGTTTCGCACAACGATCGAACTTTGGCCAAGAGGTCGTGCGGTTTGATAAATAACCTCGAAGACAAAAGAAACGCGAATAGGTATGCTCTGTCTGGATAATACTGTTCGGTGGGAACCATATGTTGAATCAATGCTTCCAGGGGACCGGAGATTAAATTACCGTCCCGGTAAACAAGGGCCTGTAATTAAAATAAATATTTTTTTAATCGAGTATGGATATATATATATATATATATATATATATATATATATATATATATAATTTACTAAAATTTCATAAATCGTCAATATCACAGAAACATAATAAAATATACAATCCATTGCAAAATTCCCTATATTGCAAATTGCTTAATAAAAAATAAAACCTTCCCAACTAGTTTACGATTAAGTTTAGGATGCTGCATGTGATACCCATATATATATATATATATATATATATATATATATATATATATATATATATATATATATATATATATACATATATATATATATATACATATATATACTTATATGTTACAATTCACAAATTTTGATGATGTTATGATTTGGAATATTGCAGATATCCGGAATTGTGTCTGATTTTTTTTCATTGTTAACTAATTCTTCATTGTTCTAACTCACCAAATATTATCAAATAGAGGGTAGAGTTGGCCATACTTTTTTACACTCGTATGTTTCAAAAACATACAATGTTAACTAAATGTTTAACAATGTTTAATCAAATTAGGAATTGTCATAAGCCTCCAGCACTTTTCAGGCCAATTTGAGATCAATCACGTACTCAATAACGGTGTGACGTTATTGAATTAAAAAATTGAATTATAGTGGTTCCGAAGGGTACGCCAACGAAAGCTATGGTGGCACTACTGGACGTCTTTCTTTTACGTATAGTTATAAGGGGAAGGCGTAAATAGGATATAATAGACTAATAATAAAGATAGAGGAACAACAATGAAGAAAAAAATCAAACACAATTCCGGATATCTGCAATATTCCAATTACTGTAAGTTTAAATGTCTTCTGTTGCTTCGATATGAGGTAGTACGTAAAAATATATAATACTTACATTGTCCTGCTGCAATGTGGACTCTGCAGAACCTTCCTGGCTGGCCTCGCTGTTGAATATATTGGCGAAACTTTTGGTTTGCGGTGTCTGCGGTAAGCTCTGGAACGTGAATTGTGACCAATTAGAACAAATTCGATTATTTCATACGAGTGGCGTTTCATTCCCTTTAATAGATATATCAGTAGGGAAGGAATTTACATTTTATTTTTAAGAATTTTATTAGAAATAGTGAAAGTGTTTATAAAATTTACTTTAAATCGACAAATATACAGTTCGGTGTATTCTCTGAGAGTTGTTGCGACATGAAAATGCGACTATTAATTTTGCTGATTTCGTATTTTCTAAATAAATTTAGATTAAAATTATTGTATAGAATAATATAATATATTGTAATTAATAAAAAACCAAAAATTTTTATTTAAAAAATTTCCTTTATAAAAAGTATATTAATAAAAACCCTATCGGACTACAACACAGAACGTTTTCGGAATAACTATTCCATCATCAGTGCTATCTGGATGTATATGTTTAAAGCCACTAAATATGTGGGTAAAACCCTTTAAATGTACTATGAGTAACTTTGAACTACATCTTTGATATTTAAAAACTATTATGTAGAGTAGAGTAAATTTTTATTTGCATAAATTTTTAAACATAATTGATCAAATAACGTCACATTATTAATTACAGATTAAATATATATATATATATATATATATATATATATATATATATATATATATATATATATATATTGACATCACACATTTAAAATATATTAACATTACAAATTAAATATGCTGATTAGGGAGAAGAATAGGCCAGGCACTCCGCCACAGTATAGGGCTCAATGTCAAATAGGTGTTGGAAAACCTTTCTTTTAAAATCTCTATATTATGTTTCCTGTTTAATGTCAGATGGTAGACTATTATAAAATTTAACACACGCATACAAATGACTTCTCTCTGTTATAGACAATCTGTGAAGTGGCAAATTAAAATTACGGCTTCTTGTATTATATTCATGATTGGGAAGCAGGTGATAAAACAAAGAACATTTTTTAAAAAGTGAGTGTATTCAATAACTTGAATCGGCCTCTACAGGATTCTCTCGCCTTTAGTCCTAAGATTACCCGGACTGCCTTTTTTGGACTATAAAGACAGTTGAGCTATCTACTGCGGCACCCCAAAAGATTACTCCATATCGCATAACAGAATAAAAGTTTGCATAATATACTGATAGTAAAATCCCCTGGTCTAGATAGCTCTTTAACACTCTTAATGAGTAGCAGGCTCTATTCAGTTTTTTTGTTGTATTTTGTATTTGTTCCCCCCAATTCAGATTCTGGTCAATATGAATACCAAGAAATTTAACTGATCTAGCAGGTTCCGTGTTTTCTGATAAAAAATTTATTGTATCTGGAAACTGTTCTCGTGACTGGCTGGTTCTAAAGTAGACAAAAACTGTCTTATCAGTATTAAGCAACAACCGATTTCCACTGAACCACTGTTCAGCCTTGCTTAGAATTTGCTCTGCCACTATGAGGAGTGTTTCTTAAGTTTTTCCCAGAAAAGCACATTTGAGTCATCAGCAAAATTTACAAGGTTTGAGGAACTACTAACCATCGCATTTGGAAGGTCGTTTATGTAGACCAAAAAGAGAAAAGGCCCCAGAACACTTCCCTGTGGTATACCTAATTTTAAATTGATCGGTTCAGAGTAAACCTTACATCCCCTTTTCTCCAGGCAAACCTTTTGCGACCTATCTGTGAGAAATGATTTTATCCATTTTAATGCTGGTCCCTGTATTTCATAAAGATGTAATTTTTGTAATAAAAGAACATGATCTAGGCTATCAAGAGCCTTAGATAGGTCCAAAAAAGCACCCAGTGTTTTCATCTTTGCTCCAGTTTTTCTACAATTTTTGATATAAAATCATAGATAGCTGTCTCAACAGATCTCCCTACGAGAAAACCATGCTGTGAACTACTAAATAAGTTGTTTGTAGTAAAAAAAGTTTTGTAGTCTGAAATATATTGCTTTTTCAAATATTTTTGAGAATGATGGAGGAAGGCTTATTGGTCTATAGTTCTCCGTCTTAGTAACATCACCTTTTTTATAAAGTGACTTGACAATTGCCAGTTTTAAATTTTGAGGAAATTTACCTTGCCTGAAAGAAGCATTAACTATAAAAGAAAGAGGGAGAGAAATCTCTGATGAAACATATTTAATTAAGTTGGTTGATATTTCATTATAACCAGAGCTATGCTTGTTTTTTAAGTTATTTATTATATGACATTTCTTTCTCTGAAACTGGAGTTAAAAACATGCAATGATTAGTTTGTTCGATATTAATTTGAAAATTTTTTACATGCTTTATTTTCTTTACAGCTTCTGGCGCTGCATTTGCCATAAATTTATTTATTTCGTTAGAAAGCACCTGAGGGTCACCCTCCAAACAGAAATTACCTTGATTTTTGGAATTACCCAATCATTTGGAATTACCAAATCTCTTTTATCAATTGCCAAGCCATTTTAGTATTATTTTCGCTATTTTCAATTCGTTATTTATAACAATTTTTCCGAGATTGAGTGAGTAAAGAATTGTATTTGCGTTTTTCTGTCCTGTAAATATCTTTATAATCAACATTATTGGTAGACAATGTAAACAAAACATCAAGCCTAGATTTACAACGTTTATATCATCATTTTTAAAGTACTTTTGTGATTTTTTTTAATTTGCTGTATTTATCTCTTTGAGTGGAAAACATTATATAAAATTTTTCTGAACTACACTCATAAAAGCATCCCACTGATTATCTACTTCTAATATCTCAAAAACAGATACCCAGTCTACATTACCTAACATGAATTTAAAAAACCTTTTATTCTCCTTGCTAAATATTCGTTTTTTTATTATATTTGACTCAAATTCATTTAATTCAAATTTTACCTTTTGAGCAGTATGATCACATATATGAGGATTGAATACAAGGGAATCAAATATGTCAAGATTTGTAAAATATTATCAATATAGGATTTTTTGTTACCTTGTATGCGTGTATAGTCTTTGATGGAAGGTTTTATATCAAAGGAGCTCAAAAACATTTTTAATGCGTCTGGCCACCTTGCACCCTCAAACAGCATATCTAAGTTAAAATCACCAGCCAAAAAAATGATGGAGTCCTTGTCAACTAAATCACAAAGTATTTGGTCTAATTTATTCATTAAAACTTGTGGATCTTCTGTTCAGTAGATTGATAGTATTACAATCTTCTTCTTATTAATTCGCACCTCTGCAGCGGAACACTCAAACACTGTTCTTTCTGATAAACTAGAAATATCTTCCCGGGCTTTTGCAATAAATGTGTCTTTGATGTATACCGCACTGCCACCGTGCTCCTATGAACTGCTTCTGCAATATGAAGAGATCAGTTTAAAATTCCGCACATTGTAGTCTCGCAGTTGTTCTTCTGTTTTCTAGTGCTCAGTTAAACAAAGAGCAAAGCATTCATCATGATCTTCTAGGGTAAAATTAATGGCATCAATACTTGTTTTAATTAATTGCGTATTTAAGTGGATTACTGATAATTTCTTTTGGTGTGTGCTGTAGACTGTCTTTTGACACTGGGGTGCCTCTGTACATTCTGAAAATGGTTAAAAATTACACCATTCGGCCATAATTCTTGCTGCATTAAATGAGGTATTTTTAGTTCTGAAACAGTAATTTTAAATAAACTTTTGTACTTATCTGTCCTGGTTTCTATTTTTTCGCAGATAACATTTTCATCCAGTTTTCTTTCTTTTAGATAGTTTAAGTATTTCCTGAGCTTCCGTTTTTGGATCGAAACCTGACAGGAAAATCGCCATATGTTTTGTGGCTACACGCAGGATACTTCCAACATTCTCATTTGTTCCCTGGAGTGGATCTGGTTGTTCAATAAGTGTTGGACGAGGTGTTTTGTAAAAACCTCTTTTTTTTGGGTTTCCCATTTATCATTTTCATCTTACCAGTAGACGGTTGGCATCTTTAACAGGCGTCACGGGTGCAATTGAACTGCTTGATATTCTTGGTTTAAGTGGCAGCTCAGACAAATCAACTGAACAAAGTGGCTGTTCTGTGACTGCTTCAACCGACCTTGTAGCCTATTTCAAAGCATTTTGTTCTTTTAAAATTAATGGATTGTTATTGATATTCTTAGTTTTTGCAGCATTTTTTACCTCCATGGATTTTTTTTTAACTTTTTCTCTATGCTTTCTAATTTTTCCCATAGCAGCTTATTATTTTCCTCTAGGATTTGATTTTTACCGCTTAATTCACAAATTAGTTCATTTAGCAGATAAATAATTGTATTTTCCATGCCATCTCCACTTTTTAAGTTTATATTAGAATCACAACAATTCACACGCGTTTCATCTAAAATTTGAAGTTTTCCGGCCCAATCTCGTGCCGTGCATGATTTATGAAAGGCTTTTCCACACTTCACACATTATTGTGCTTATTTTTTTAGTTTTGCAACAAGTACTTAAACTTGGTTTTTTCGCTCTCACTCTCGCGATCATCCTTATCGGACGCCATCTTTTTATTAGTGATTTTTTTATTGGTGATCTTTTTATTGGTGCTGTTGAATATTGAACAATGTTGAATAATCAACAATTATGTTTAAGTTATAAAAGAAATTGATCACATGGCAACGTAGCACTCAACTGGGGTTGCTAGTAACTCTCTGATAGGACTTGTAGATAGCAACTCAACACGTTTAAAAGAATTTAAAAAACGTAAAGTTCCTTTTCGAACGATTGTTTATATTGACTTGCTTCAGGTTAATTAAAAAGAACGTGACGATTCAAATTTTAACTGTGAGAATTTTTTTTTAGTTTCCGTTTTTCTACTTGCAACAACTTTTATAGAACCATATGGACTCTGTAATCTTCTCATATCATCCATGTGCTTATAGTAAAATAGGTTTTTTTTATTTATTTTAAACTAACCCAACGTATTATGCTCAACAGTTTTAAGTATATTTTTCTCACTCTGGAGGAGTTTCATTTATTATGTAGTAAAACTTCAATTTGAATTTAGTGCAGTAGTACAGTAAT